TCAGAATTTGTGGTTGTTGTTGTTGTCGTCAAAAAGAAATTGAAGAAGAAAGTGGAAAATGGAAAATGGGAAGTGGGAAGTGGGAAGTGGGAAGTGGGAAGTGGGAAATGGGAAATGGGAAATGGATTGAAGGTGGAGAGATTTTAGGTTGACAAGAATATCCTATAGCAACCGAAGAGGAAGGAAGAAAGTCACGCTCTTTCCGAACTTGAAATTAGAAAATTAGGCGGGTGAAGAACAAAATGACGGGAACTTCCTTCTTTCTCCAATTCACCATCAATATCTAATGTAAAGCGGTGAAGAGAGAGAGAGAAGAGAGAGGAAAAACTGATTCGAATTGCCAGTTGTAGATATTAATTCTGGTCTTCGAACATATGACAAGACTTCAAGTAATAATCTTCGTGTCACCTTCCGAGGTGAAATGTAAATAATGAGAAGTGAAAAAGGTTGTTCTATTTCTCTTACCTCAACAGTACAATTTTCAATGGCTAAACTTGCCAATTGGCCTCTACAGCGGCAGAAAACCGGCGAGGATCCAAAAGGAAAGAGACCTATCGTACCATCAGTGAATTTTTATTGAGTGGCTGGTTACTTCTCGGAAATTACGCAAAGGAAATATTGCATCAACGATGTGAGTGTTCTTGAGATTTGACTTGCGTACTTCCACATGAGAACATCGATAACTAAATGAGAAGAAAAAGTTTTCAGATGAAAGTCACTCTTGAAAAGCTGCCTCGTATGAAGATCTACCGATCGAACAAACGCACATAAAGTGCTATGTGACTCCAATGCACATGCATCTATCCGCGCATAAGCACAAACGCTCAACATGGATCACTTAGGCCACATGCAGGAAAGAGAAGTCTTGAGACATCTGGCAAAGGGTATCTTCTTTGAACCAATCATCACGTTTGACTTTGGTCCAAGTCCACACACACCAATCCATCTGGATACTTTGACTTCAAGCATGAACATGCAGTCCACAGGATATAAAAATATGATGATTGACGACGTGCTTATGACCTGCCAGGTAGTCTGGCTTGGTAAATTGAGTACAGAGATGCATGTTTGTTGATCTCTCTATACAATGTCCGAATGTGACTGAAAGGAATGGTGCAAGAACCTACAACAAAAGTATTTGCTCTCTTGCCTATATCTCTCATTAGTCTATGGTTTCATGTGGGATGCCCAGATATTGTCATTATGAATCGAAGGATTGAAAAGGTTGAGAATTTACTTACCAATGGTAGGGAGAGAAAGTTCTCTTCCTCCATGGCTTGTCGCAGCCACCAGAAACCAGAGTCCAAGAGGACATCTTTCTTTGGAAAAGAAAAGTCATTGTAAGCGGTCATATAAAGAAGATTCTTTGAATGATGGGACATATCTTTAAGGTATGTTGATACATTATAATATAATGTGGAAAAGTTGTTTTGAAGAATGGCCAAATAATAAAGATTCCAAGGTTGTGGGAAGAAGGTTCCTCGAAATCGAAAGACAAATTATAAACTCCAGAGGAACTTGTGGTTAGCTTAGCGTCGGAGGAACATCGGAGATCGGCCGCATCTGAGCCACTTTCACTATCTTGGGAGGCTAGAGGAACTACCTGGTATGGATATGTGATATGGACCATTCATGTTGTTTGTCACCCTTGAGATGACCCTCTGCCTCTGTTCTCGAGATGAGAGATAAAAGGTACAAAAGGTACAGCACTTCAAGGTCTTTGAGTGACACATTTAGTAGGTATGTATTGGGCATTCAGCAGTAGTTCTTGTACATATCAATATAATAGCAATTGAGTATCAATTATCAGTTCATAGATCTCAGAAATGCACACGTATTTGTACCTAGTAGCTAGTAGCGAGACTGATCTGCTGGAAGTTCCAAGGTTGACATTCATTTTCACAGGGGAACTGATGATGTTGAATTTGATGAGATGAAACCCCTGAAAAGCCATCAATCAATGCCGTAGGGATGGATATAGTAAGCTTTCCCCGCACTCCACTAATTTCAGGTACAAGGTTAAATAAAACATGGAATGAAATGTTCAAGCTTTACATTACCTAAACTCAAAAAGGTCAATCAACAACACATGCCATATTTTTGGTGATCCGATGAAGAACCCCAATATTTAAGATGTCACAAACTCCAATACTACCTCCGCCAAAAGCAATACTCCCTCAATCAAAGGCAATTTTACCTACAGATGCAAAAACACGATTAAAGAAAGCTGAGAATGCTAGAAAACGTTTGGTAGCTGGCCGCACGGTGAGGGAGGATTCGGATGAAGACGAGGACTCGGACGAAGAGGCTGAATGGCAATGGATATACAGCGACGAGAATTCCGAAGAGAATGCTTCACCATCGCAGACCACTGCTAAGGGAGGCGAAAATTCATCAGCTAAGAGAACGCGTCGACTCTCGAAAGGTGCAGGGGCTAGGAGGATTGTCGGTGCCAGGGCTGGAAAGACAGTCTGCAGGATTGCAGATTGTGTTTTAATAAATAATGATACTTCGAATACAAATTGGGTTGGAATTATCTCAGGATTTGAAGAAGACGAGGGCTATGACGAGAATGCCGAATCATACCATGATATAATGAAAGCAAATATTTGGTGGTTCTGTAGCCCAAATGATATTCACAATAAAACGAAGAAGCGATCCGATTTCCTAGAAGTAAGTAGGTTCCGTGCTTGTTTCTTGCTTCTTGCGGCTAACAACTATAGAACGAGCTCTACATATCTTCTGATCTCGATACAATTTCACTGGCGACCATTAATGGCGTAGCTACGATCCTATCCCAAGAAGCATTCAAAGTCAAATTCCCAACGGGGAAAATACCTAGAAATCGAAAAGAAAATGGCAAAACGTTCATATGTCGCCGAGGATTACACAGCAAGTCTGTCACATATACAGATGAATTCGTGTGGGATGATGTATACCATAATACGGAGGAGAGTGTTGACAAATTGATCGAGAAGATCGAAAATAGCCTGCCAAGCAATAAGAGAAAGAAGCCTGCCCTTCCTAATCCTAAGAAGAAAAAGAAGCTTGATGAAGATGATGACGCGAGTGTAGCATCTGAACATGATGATGATTATGAAGTGGATGAAGAAATCTTAGCAACGCCGAGGAAAAGGCAAAAGACTACCAAAGCTATAACCCCTCGAAAACCACGCACACCCTCCAAGCTACTTACTCCCAGTCACAAACGGTTCGTCATTAACAATTGATCAAAAAGATTCCCAGCTGACAGTGTCTATAGGATTGTCGTTAAGAAGCCACTAGAATTTACGCCTTTGGGAATGCGTATGCTCTCACCATTAGTTAATGCTTCTCCATTTCAAACAGCTCGATCACGGCTTCACGTTTCATCCGTTCCTGATACCCTTCCCTGTCGTGAAGAAGAATTCTCATCAGTTTACACACATCTTGCAGCTGCTATTACAGATGGTACTGGCTCATGTATATATATCTCTGGAACTCCGGGAACCGGGAAAACCGCAACGGTACGAGAAGTTGTTGCACAGCTTAATGCATCAGTTTCAGCCGATGAATTAGATCCTTTTATTTTCGTCGAGATTAACGGAATGAAAGTCACAGATCCACATCAATCATATGCATTGTTATGGGAAGCTCTAAAAGGAGACCGTGTGAGTCCAAGTCACGCATTGGATTTATTGGAGAGGGAATTCAGCAAACCATCCCCGAGAAGAGAACCATGCGTTGTTTTGATGGATGAACTAGACCAACTGGTAACGAAGAACCAAAGCGTCATGTATAATTTTTTCAATTGGCCTGGTCTGAGGCATTCCAAACTGATCGTACTCGCTGTAGCCAATACCATGGATCTACCTGAGCGTACCCTTTCCAACAAAATCTCTTCACGTCTCGGTATGTCAAACTGCCCTTTGATCTTCGATCAACCATAGCTGACATTAAATTTTAGGTCTAACCCGTATAATCTTCCCCGGCTATACTCACGAACAGCTCCAAACAATCATAACCTCCCGTCTAACCGACGTTCCCGCCCACCTAATCCACCCTGACGCAATCCAATTCGCTTCTCGCAAAGTCGCCTCCGTATCCGGCGATGCTCGTCGCGCCCTTGATATTTGTCGTCGTGCCGTCGAAATCGCCGAATCGGAATCACTCTCCACCCCGAATACACCTTCTAAAACACCGGGCAAAGAAGAAAAGAGGGGAAAAGGTGTGGTTAGCATAGCAACGGTCAAGAAAGCTATCAATGAAGCGACGACGAGTCCATTACAACAGTATTTAAGAGCATTACCGTTGGCGACAAAAATGTTCTTGGCTGCGTTGGTATTGAGATTGAGGAGGGCGGGGACAGGGGAGTGTCTTGTGGGAGAGGTGGTCGATGAGTGTAGGAGGATGGCGAAGCTGGATACAGGGGGCAGTGTAGTAGGGTTTTTGCTCACGGGTGCTGGGGCGGCTGGAGGCGTTAATAATGGAGACAAAACCAGAGGCAAACAAGCAGGAAAGGGGGCAAGAGTTCAGGGAATGGGCGAGGCGGCAATGGAATTAATGGAGGCTGGTGTCATAGGAATAGAAGTGAGAAAAGCCGAGAGGATGGGCAAGGTTAGGTTGGGGATTGGAGAGGAAGATGTTAAGGTTGCTTTTAAAGATGATCCGGAGATTAGGGGCTTAGGGTTCGTGGGATAGGGGTAAGGGTAGGAGTAGCGAGAGTTTTGGAATGTGTAAATAAAACGACGGTTAAATTGATACCCAGCGTTATCATACACAATAAATCAGCATAGCATAGTAATATGAAGAAAGAAGCAATAATCTCAAGATGCAAATTCCCCAAAATGGCTGTCATTCATGTAGCAATGGTATATGTGTGCAATAAGTATTAAAACCACTGCGCACGCAATTTCTTAAAACGCCAAACACGCCCCCAGCTAAACTGCCTAGTCTCGTCTAGCTTCGCCCAAATACCTTTCCGATGCCTTTTTACATTTTCATATTATACATATGTGTGTTTAGAATTTTCGTCGTCCAAGCTCTGGTTTCCATTCGAGGGGGTGGGATTCGGGGGTTGCGAGTTCGTCCTGTTTCCATACTTTTACTGTTGGGGGAAGGGGTGGTTAGCATTAATTCCTTATGAATGGGGGTGCAAAGGTTGCTGAGGGTAAGACGGAAAGAGGAATGAAGGGAAATAGAGGCACATACTAGTTTTGTCCGCCTCTCCCGTGATCAATCTCAACCCAGTCTTATCGAATAAACTCGTGAAGATGCCCGCTTCCGCATCCAAAGAACCCGGTTGGGCGATAGAATCCAGCGCTTGATATCTATGACCTGTTTTCCAATCCCAGAACGCCATCGATCCATTGTCTCCTCCGGAAAATAATACGTTGTCTTCGTTAACACTGAGGGTATTGATAATAGCATTTTGACCATCGAAGTTTTGCATAAAGGCTCCCTCGGGACATTTCCATTGTTTGATGCTTCCTGCGCTGCCACTTGCAAATGTGAATTCTTTGGGATGGATGGCGAGTGCGCGAACACCTTTTTTGTGGTGGGTGAGGGCTCCCATACTTTTTCCAGCTGCTAAATCCCATAGGCGGACTGTGGAATCAAGGGAGGACGTGATGACTTGTGGATCGGCTTCTTGGCACTTCAGATCTGATACTGTGCCTTTATGTCCAGATAATACGTGGATATTACTCCTGGTCCTCATATCCCATACTCGCGCTACACCATCTCTACCTCCCGTAACCAGCACGTCCAGAGTAGGATGTAGAGCCAAAGTATAAACACCACTCAAATGTCCATGATAATGTCGAATCACCTTGTTGGTTTCCAAATCCCAACACTTAACCATCTTATCCTCTCCACAACTAAACAAATATGGATGTCGAGGACTAACTGCCAATCCTCTCACAGTCGATATATGTCCCGTCAATGTAAGTTTCAATCCTCCAGTCGCTAAATCCCATATCTTAATTGTACGATCTCCAGCTCCAGAGGCAAACCAACGATTCTCGGGCTCAACAGCTAAAGCACGAACCCAGCCCAAATGTCCAGATATCACGCGCATGAGTTTCCATGGGGCGTGCCATTCGGGTTTTGCTTGGACGAAATTCTGTTTGCGTACTAAGCTGCTGGATGGCAAATTACTCTGCGCAGTAGATATCGAAGGACCATTCGCATTGGGTGGTGTATCTTTACCGCGGATTATAAGACTGGTGCTACTTCCAGCCCCAGAACTCTCAATTCGTGATGGAATTCCTTCGATCATCTTCATGATATTGTCTGCAGCCGATTCCCCATCTGTAGCTTGTACCTTAGCCTTCTTCCTCCTGTTCCCAGCAGCGGCAGCTTGTTTTGCAGCCAAGGCAGCTGGTAATTCTCGAACATGGTCGTATTCGGCGTGGACCCTTCCTACTAATGCTAATTTATCTGCGGTTTCTGTAGATTTTGGATCGGGGATTGATTCTGTATCTGCGAAAAGAGAACGTGTTCGTTTGGCATTTTGTTTTATTAGAGATTTAATTTGATCGTCCGAAGGTAATGATGCGACTGCGGTTGCCATAATGAATGGAGGTGGTTGATGTTAATAAGTTGCGCGTGTGAGGAGTTGCGATTTGGAAATTTATCGCGATAAAGCTTCAGGAACGTGAGCCACAGACCGTCAAGCCACCGTACTGGCCACCACACTAGCCACTAAGCCGTTTATTGGCTGTCGCTTTGCATTCCAGACGCCTCCTCCTCCACGCCATCATATGATATCAAGAACAGTTTAAAACAATATTTCTTCTTCCAATCAATCTTTCATCAAAATCGTATTGAATACATTGAAACACAATGGAAAAGCCATCAGAAGATAAATACGCCATCCATCAGGCTTGTCGAGATGGTAGAAGTACGATACCCCTCTCCTCTCCTCTCGCCCTTTGTTACTAATAAGAATCTAGCTGCTATCGTAGAGTCCCTTCTCAATGTAGGAGATCCTCAGACTTTCTGCTATGGAACAATTGGTTATATACAAATATGAGTAGTACTCACAAATTGTAGGCCAACCCAAAACTCGCATTTTTGAAAGATGACGACGAAAGATTGCCTATTCATTGGGCAGTTTCTTATGGACATTTGGACATTGTCATACTACTTTCCAATGTGAAGAATTTCGATCCCGACGTACAGGTGTGTATAGTCCATATCGTGCCTGTTTAGGCTGTGAGTAAGTTTGTTGATATAAATTGTAGGATGGGTCAGGATGGACACCTCTTATGATCGCTGTCAGTCTTAAGGAAGGCGATGATATTGTGAACTTGTTATTGAAGAAAGAGGCTGAAGTAAACGCCAAGAGTATTTTATGTCCTTACTGTGTTGTGATTCTGTTCAACTGATGCTCACCATATCTTAGATTTCAGCGACCAAGTATGACATTCAAACTATTTTGAGCACCCCTACGAACAACCATCTAACTGACATTTAGACCGCTCTCCACTTTGCCACCTCCAAAAACAACCTCCCAGTAGCCAAACTTCTACTTTCGCAAACTCCACCTGCTTCCTGTAGAGTCAAGGACAAGCGTGGACAGTATGCAATTCATCGTGCAGCGGCTATTGGATCCACCCCATTAGTTGAGTTATTGTTGAAGAATAAAAGTCCATTGAATCCTACCGATGTTGCGGGACAAACACCACTTCATCATGCCGTTGCTGAAGGTCACGGTACGTTCATTTCGTTCACTTGTCTTCATATATCAGATTGGGAGAGATCCCCGATTGGTTTTGATGATTTTGCTACGAATCTTTCAGCTTACTAAAACATACACAGGTGACACTGCAGTAGCACTTTTGAAAGCCGGCGCAGAAACAGACAAGAAGGATGTAGATGGTTGTCTTGCGTTGGACCTTGCCCCTGACAGTCAGGTTAGTGATCATTATTTCCCCCATATTATGCCGTACCAAGCTCAAGACGTTTAGGTCAAGAAATATATAGTTCAATGGGCCGAGATGGAGGGTATCGATTTATAACATGCCGCTGGCAGGAAATGCGTATGAATGATGAAAACAATGAAATCCAATTGCATCTCATCCCCTTATTACTTGACTTCTATCGAGATTTTAGTTCCTAACACCAGACTTTTAGAGCCTCGGTCAGGCAGTGCCGGGTTGAATTTGATGTTGAACATTGACGTTCCTTTGAACTAAATATTCGTTTAGTCTGAATCATCACCCGCTGTAAATCTGCGATTCATGTGCCATTTTCTCATTTGCAAGCAAGTCGAACGTTTTCAGAGCTCACTTCCTTGGGCGTATCTCTCAAAGACTGTAGGGCGAATCAAAAGTCTACATGGCAATGGCAATGAAATATCACTTGATTATTTTTTCTCAACTCAAGTAAAACGTCTTCATTTATGCTGCCTCTCCGTTTATACACATTGGTCTACTTCATATGTACCCAACAGATGAATCACACCGACGAAGGAATGTCAGCTCGGAACCGATAGACTGTGCCCCACTCTTGCAGATCAAGCTTCTAAGTCCCCTATTAATCTGCTCACTCATTGGTTGCATATCGCCACTGCATCCCTGACTGATCAGATTGATAAGATAAAAATTAGTTTGGGAATCGCGTCGTCGTAAGCTGCGTATGCGTACCCGCAACTTTATTTTTTATTACTTATTATTGCTTGTTGTTGATTGTGTTGCCTTTAAAATCATAAATACTTGAGTGTTGTCCGTCCTCCTCTAGTTCTGAGTTTTTTTCTCTATTTTGGTCATTGTTCTTCTTGAATTGAAGGATAGTAGCCGATATGAAATCGAGAATGCTTTCACCGTCTCTAGTTCTCGCTCCGCTATTACCCCTATTGGTCAGCGCTAGTGCATTACCTGATCAATCACCACTCTTACTTCAAACATCCAAAGGTCCTAGTATGGAACATGCCCGCGCAAATGCACCTGAGATTTTTAACACAATTCATTCGTCTATGCGACAATGGGGATCTTCTCTAAAACATAATGGGATGTCCTTTTTCCCAGCAAAAGTACCAAAAGGGACTCTCTTTTACCATGGAACCCACACACCCGAGCCGGTCGAGGGGATGGAATGGTTAGCTTTCGAAATCGAGCACGCAGAAGTATTTGCACGTCCAAGAAGAGGTCGTGGTCCTGGAGGTCCTGGAAATCATGGTCAAGGTAAAGGGAAAGGTCCTGGGGGACCGGGAAGAGGTCCTCCTCCGCATGCACGAATGGACAGTCATCCCAGGCCCAAACCCAAGCATGATGATAATGTTCATGATTCTGATGACAAAGAAGAAGATAGCCATGGTTATCTCCACACCTACCGTACCTCCAAACCCCTCACTAAACTCATCTACATCGACGGAATGTCCGCCGGAAAAACCAGCATGGGAACCCTTGATTCTACAGACTACATCATTCGCAACCTTTCTCCCACTTCAACAGAGCCAAACAACGATTGGATCCGTGCAGCTGATCTTTGTAAGATTGGTGAGGAGTATGGTATCGAAGGAATTCTTCGCATGGAAGCGGGCTTTGAAATTATCCTCTGTAGTTTCAAAGATGGGCTTGAGTTTTTAGGTGCCTCTCAGAGAGACGACAAATCTGGAGGGTTTGAGAAGGGGGAAGATGATGTGGGACATTTTGAATATGTGAGGGCTCTGGTTTATAGGTATCAGGGTATCATGGGGGGAAGAGTAGAAGTCGATTATTCTTCTATGATTTCTGCCTTCTTTTATCCTCTCAATATTACTAATCCCAATCCTTCTCGTTCCGAACTTCCTAGATTGGTCGAACCTTCCGAATCAGGTGATTTGGAGAGAATCCGCTCTGATATCTTGAAATTGTTTAAATCTGGAGAATACGAGAAGAGAGAAACGATCAACTGGCAAGATGTCGTGGATATGATTGTTACGAGGTATTCAGATCGTCTCAAGTTTATGGTTCAAAATGAGACGTCAGAAGCGGCGTTATTATCGGAAATCAAATTGCTGTTGGACGCGCATTCGGATTACAAAAAGATTGATATTCCTTCCTCGATTGAGAAATGCGCAAATCACTATCTAAGACCGGTAACACCGAAAACCGAGGCAGATCATTTGATTCGTGCTGCTATTCTTAAGGTGTCTCGTGATATTTGCAGTACTTTGTTTGAAGTCAGGGAATTAATAAGCAGTGATGAAAATGGTACAAAAGAGGAGGAAGGAAAACAATTGATCAGAGAATTGATCAATGAATTAGATTGGACTACTTGGCTGGAATGTGGAAAGTGCGGTTATGATGAGGTATGTTTCGTGGCAATCTGGCCCTGGGGAGGTTTGGAAGATCACGTCTCTCCAAGCTGTGTCAAGAGGGGTGATATGGGTGATCGAAGGGGATACTGGGATTGGGGACATTAGCGTCGGCAGTACTTTTGAAGAAGGCTATGTAGCCGTAGACTTTTGATCATTCGATAGAGGAGAGTGGATATATGGGTAGCGTATCATAGTGGCAATATACGGATTTTATACACAATTGAATTGGTAGTTAATATGTTTCATTTCCGCAGAGAACAGAGGATTTTACCAACACTTTCCAGCTACTCAGTACATTACTCATTGTTCCCAGGGGGACCAGGTAAAATCTTCCAATCAGGGAGGCCACGGAATCATCATCCTCGTGCGGAAGTTTTGACAAACTCATCTCTCTTTAGGAAATTGGACATTATTTTCCTCCCGGGATCCTTTGTAGCCATATAATAAATTGCCAACGAAAGTAGCGGCTCTCGTATTGCTATAAGTCATTCAGCTCTCCATTCATCTGCAGAGTGAAAGCAGCAGAATCATTGACAAATATAATCACTTTTGTGTCTTTGTAGTACTTGGTTGCTAGTATGACTTACATTCGATATTCTGTCTAAATACTTTCTCGCATTATCTGGCTTCCCTCTCTTCTGTGGACTTGATCTGTAGTGATCTCGGTTTCAGACAACGCTCGACACCAGTCCGAGTAGTCTTGCAATCTCTTTTGGTGAAACAAATGTCTGTATGTACTTCATGTTGCACATGGGCAATCACGTCTTGATCTGCGATTCAAATGTGTTTGCAATCTGACTTAAAATTGGTACGTGTCGTATGGTTGCTTCCAAACAAACGCGGATTCTGTGGATTATGGTGATATTGGGAAGAGTGTTTATCAGGCAAATGGCATGAATATGATGGGAAGTGTCTTATCAGAGATCTTGTCACAAGACTATGTACAAAATGTAATGAGCATGCAGAGAGGAGATTGGCGTGGAATTGGTAATGTTTTTATTCGTTGTAGAAAACAATGCATCGATGCCTAATCCGGACTAGAACCTTCTCCCGTGAGCGCCCAAATCTTTTTTACGTCAACTAGAACAGAAATGATAATTTTCTCAGCAACTTCGCAAGACTTTTACGACAGAACTAACTTCGTAATCGTGCCATTTCGTCGACCAGGACGGAAATATTAACGTCGCTTGAATCTCCTCAAATTCAGATTTACGCATCGCAATCTCAAAGGGCAAATTTACCTTAGGCCACAAGATCACTAAGACACCGTGTGATGTGAAGAGGCAAGATATTGTAGGATCAAAACGAAATGGAGATTTTTCGCAAATGTGATCAAACGGCTTGAGCTCCAACCTTATCGATGGCATTAAGCGCAACCATTCCTCAGAACACCGGTCCTATAGCGGGGCTGCAAAGATGCCAAGGACTCGGATTTTTCTATGGAAAAGGGTTAGCGATAATCTAGGATGGCATTTGTAGGTCTTGGTGAAACTTATTCTTTTCATTGAATGACAATCGTGTTTAGGACTTTACTCGTGCCAAACAAGTTGTATCTCGTGATGAAATCGAGAAGGAAGCCATAAAATTGGAGAAAGGACAGAAGCAGGATATTTTATCAAAGTCTCTGGTCAAATCCTTCATGGAGGTCCTATCCTTAATGACCATGAGGCGAAGGCGAATGAATTCTTAAATCGTCTCATCTGCGCTATCATCCACCTCACGTTGCCAATGATCTGTTTTTGCAGATATTTCTTCCTCTCGAAAATCTCACAAACATTCTCTACGCCATTTGCGTAGCTTAATTGTTGCAAAGTGGTTCGGGGGCTGGAACCCGTCTCGCTGTTATTGAAACCAACGTCAAACAATCCGACTGACAGACACACCATGTGCGTTACAACGGCTCATGCACCGAAGATGCTACAACATCGTGTGCCGTCGCCTTGCGTTTTTGTTCTTCAGTGTCTAACTCAGTAAGCCGAGGGCTACACCGGTTCAAGGATCTGACTACGAACAGTTGTAGTTTCGTTATCTGCTCTGGGCGATCGCGTAGTCTCAAGACGTATATAGTCGTGTTTCCTTCATTCTTCAGTGCTGTACCTTCTTTTATTCATAATTGCGAGCGATTCTTTAATTTCACAATGTTTATTATCTCAAATCTTGATAATCTATAACCCCACCACTCTTTCGGTGCCGAACTCCGTCCATTTTGAGCAAATATCCCAGCACAAGCATATCGATAGTCCGGCTATATTCAACCTTTACCTACCTATCTATCGACGTGTCAATTATTCACAACAACCCTCTATGTTCGCATTCCCATATGTAAGAAATTCATTTCACTTTGATGATGGACTTTCAATTTCTCAGCCTTTTCAACTCATTTCAATCACCGGCTTACCGCATATTTTGATTTGATTTATCTAGCTCACAGTGGCAAGTCAGGCCTGGTAATGCATATGGATAGCATGCAGTTCTGTGTATGTACCAGGCAGCATATCCTTACTTTCTCAATCTTTTGACCTCTAGCACCTTCATATGACCATTGCATGGCCTCGGTTCTCTTATTTAGAGAGAGTAACACTTCTTGTAATTTGAAAATAAGATGTTCGCGACAAGATTCCGTCGTAGGAAGTCCTCGAACTTTCTATTCTATCGTCCTTAAAAGCTATCGTTTCCTCGACATGCTAGGTCTTCGAATCCTTGGCAATTATCGGAGCAGTTTGCAATTTCGTTTCCTCAGTATGGCTTGAACTCAATTTTTTGATAGGTGAGCTGTGATAATGGGACGGGGCGCAGCGTCGTTGTTCTAGTGTCATAATCAAGTAGGATATACTATGATTCTGCCTGGATGCCCTCAAAGTGCCCCTTTAAGCTGGCATGTTATCGACCAACCATTGAACTTTGGATTCAAATCCATAAAACTTCGCCTCTTTACTAGCTTCACTGGTTTTATGTTTCCTAGAAACATATCTATTATATATGTACGATTAATTAACATGATCGCAAGATCTATACCACACATGGTCAGTCTTTAATTGTCTCATTGACATCGTCATTTCTTACCTACTTGATTCACCATCTACCCCTCAATACCTACTACTACTTATTGCTGATAAGCCCCTCCCAAATCACAAAAAGCTTTTACGGGACCAGTACAAGTTCTCTCTCTTGCCAGGCTCTTTAGAAACACACATTTCTCTACAATAACGACCCGATTGTCCAGCTCTTATATTCATTCAAAAAGCGAAACCAAGCGCATTCTTTTCCTAAGAATATCACTTGTCTGATTGTCACAAAATACCTATGCCGATTTCATCCAGACTCCATTATAACAGCTCCCTACCCGCTGCGAATCCCACCGGTACTATTGACCACTTCAAGGTGGTTGTAGGATACTTTTCAAGTCTAGAACACGCAAGCGGCTTATACGGAAGTGAAGGCATTGGCATAGACTTCGCGCAAAACTATTACAGCCATCCATCGGCTCAGATACGGTCACCAAAGAACATTGATAACATTATTGGACACAAAGAGAGTTCCAATTCTGATGTAAAAGTGGAACCATATATATATCTCCAATGTCCAGGCGTTCTTTCTATGTTCATGGTGACGTGCCTCGTGACTATGGGTTTCTACAAAATCTAGAGTCGCTTTTAAATAAAAATTTACACACTTCATTGCCGGTTCGCTCTTTTCAAAACGATGTGGCAAGTAGTGTCTCGATCTCTACAGCCTTTCAGTCTCACGATTCAGAGCACGGTGCGAATCCAATATCGAAATTCCAACCTTCCACATCTCCTCCCAATCTTAAACCTTGTACGGGTCTGCTTCAAGGTGATTCTGAAGGTCGACTCGATACCAGAGTCTATCAAGGGGGGCAGTTAGCGAACAACATGACTGCGGAACTCAATTCATACCGAAAAGCCTCCACGGAGGGTCACTATAAAATTCAAAACTTCTCACCAAGGTCATCTTCTTATGGACCTGCCAATGATTTCAGGCAAGACGGCTTTGAAACTTATCTGGCACAGCCTCCTCAAACACTTGCATCATATCATTCAATCAAGAACTCGGCACCTTTGGGCATAGCACCAACCTCTTCGGATACAAACATACCGAATGATTTGACTGCGCGCCCCACTGATCTGTGGAAAAATTCTCCCGAACTCCGGGGCCCGCATTGGAGTGGTGCTATTCTGTCCAACAATTTTTCACATCCATCGAATATGTCCATTTCATGCCGAGAATCTCAAAGCTATATTAACGCAAATACTTCGAATGAGCATACGTCCGCCTCGAGCTTTTATCCCTCTCATGCCTCCCAATCACCTCATACCAAAATACCTTATACTCAAATCGCGTGTCATCAACATGGTTCCAATCACATGGATTCTCATTCACCAACATTTTCTTTTCCCTCAAATGATGTCCAGATTCAAGAAGGAGTTCATAGTATGGGACGAAGCAAAAGCTCAGACATTGATTATATACGTACTGTAACAATTGATCAACTCTGCCCGAGAAGCTTTCCAAGCGTATGTCTGCATCCTCAGTGCCAATGCAAGCCAACAAATAAGCGCAAGTTGTACAATAGATACAAAGACTGGCAAGGTCATTTTAAACGTGCTCACCACAAGCGGTATCTCTGCGGCTTACCGAATTGTCCAAATAGCGAAAAGAGGTACGGCACAAAGGCAGAAGTCAAGCGTTATCGAATCTCTGTTCACCGTTTTGGTAAGGCAGATGCTAAACACTGGAATTGCCAGGTCCTGAATTGTCAACGAAGTACTAAGGTTTTTACGAGAGGTGACAAATACAAAGATCACCGTGATAGATGGCATGGACCATTCCCCTACCTGTATCCAGGGTGTGTGAGAGGGCCTGATAATGGGTTCAAGGATCAAGAAGCACTTGATAAGCATCGTCGAAAAGAGCATAGATGAGGCTGGGGTGCTTATTTTCTGACCCTCTTGTGTATTTATAAGCCTGTATGAGTACGTTTATCTGCTTTGTCTACACAACTGCAAATTTCAGATTTCTTTTCCTCGAAGCGTTTCCTAATTTCCTTGGGGTACAATTACATGTAGATAGACTTTCTAATCTAGGGGAGATTCTGCATGTATCGAAGCTATGATCTTATATCACAATCAATGTACCTTCAGTTATTTACAGTAATGTATTAACAAGGAGATATAATCGAAATTGCGTTCAATTTCTGCGGCTCTGGCTCTATCTCACTACCTACCACTTTTGACGAAACCTGAATGTGCGTGACTCCAAGACTCGAACGATCTTGCACGTCTATCTACCATTCTAACCCCATGGAAACAATTCGCAGAATGATAAAAGTCCAAAAGGCTCGCAGCCTCACTACTTAGCGCTTGATATCTGATGGCTAGTTCTTCCGTACTGTAGCACTCGGTAAGATAAGCGTCATCTTTCACCGGCCTTGCTAGAAGCGTCCTTGGACTGGGGTACAAGCACGTCTATGTTAGTTAACTTTCTATATGCTTCCATCATGCGGCTTTTCGTAAGTGCATTGGAAAAAATCTCAATCGTTTTCAGTAGTATTTTATGCCCCAAGCCTCATCAACAACGACATGAATTCAAGGCACACTGGCATACTCTCTAGTCCCTGGTGGAATGATAGGCTTAATTACTGTTGATTGGCATGATGGGCGCATGCAACTACAGGGGCCATAATGCCCCATATGCAATATCAACAGAATTTGGACAGAATGGCACGCCGACTGTAGGCTGACCGGGCGAAATGTATGAAAAAGGTTATGTCCCTTTACAACGCGATAAGCCTGTCACAAGGCTCAAACTTTGAAGATTGGCATTATCGACCAGAATTAGGCAAACAGACTAAGCTGAATCTTAGGGGCCTTTTGTCCAGATCGCCCTGCACAGAGCAAAAATGGATAGGTTCGACAGATGCGGCCATCATACACTGTCTGGCATTTACTTTCAGTAAACTATTTTCCAGCCTCTGTTTTCATCGGTGAGGTGCTTCATCCTAGTGCTGATCGGTTTTGGTTTCCCCGCCTGGCCGCTTTGCCGCCCTTCCTCTCCACTAATTACGCCCTCTTACCCTCTTAATGCCCCCTCTGAAAGATGTCATATATAAATCTGAGTATCCTTCGCATCAGTCAATTGTCGTTCGCGCAGAATTCTTGTGATCGACAATGTCATTTCTTTCATCCGTCAAAACACACGCGTCTCTCTCGGTATGATAAGCCTTCATATACCTCAAGATTCGTCTTAGAAGCCATATCATTCTGATTTCCATCAGTGCTAACAGAGCAGGTTGCTTTGATCATAAAGCAAATATCAACACTGGTTTGTGCTCTGGGCAGTCAGTAGCCTCTAATCTTCATGGCTTCAGGTGAGAAGACTCTCAAGTATGAGTGCATGTGGAGGGAGATATGCCTAGTTTCTGAAGATTTTTAATGATTCAGGTTTAACTCCTGCACAATCTATTACCACATATTGCAGTCCGTCTCTCGGTCCGTATATTCTGAAGAAAACGATCCTCCGAATGGGCCTAAATATTGAGATGAGTGTTCTTTCCGAGATCTAACAAGTGAGTAGCATCTTACTGATTTGTCCAGATTCTTGAATAATAGGCTAATCAATACGCAGAAGAATTCTAGTAAGGAGAATGCGAGTGCGTTATTTCTCGACTGTTAAGTTCAAGGGAAACGAGTCAGGATGGTGCTACCTTAGACTGCTTGTGGTGAGATACCTGCAGAAAAGCAACACAAAACCTTCATGTTCATTTTTTGTTTGAGTCCGATGTGTTTCAAACCGGAGCCTTTTGGGCTCAAGGCTGGCTATCTACTCTAGCGTTTTAGAGAGCCAAAATTTGGAGCAAAGCTCTCCGATTTTTCAGGTGGTTTATCTGCCTTATCTATATTCCATTCAGTAGCTAGGCTTGGACAGAATCTCAATATTATATAATTTCTAGAAGATGGTTCTTCACTACTCATTTTCTCCCCTGTTCTGAGCGATTTTCTGACAATCTGCCTTGCTTTTTGAAGCTTCTGCAATGTGCCAATTCTTTTCAATAGACAAAGTAAGTGGATTACCCCAAAAGCTGCCCTGTTTGCCCCAAAATTCCCCATTCCAAAGTCGCCAATTTCATTGGAGCTACGGAGCAATGCTTTCTGTCGGTGAGCTTGACTTACTTCAACTCATTCTGTAGCTTTGAAGAGCTTGATGCTTAGTTTAATGCCCTTGGGCTACCGGCTACCCAAGAATGCCCTCTTATACTTGGACCTTGAAATATACTACAGCCTTAATAGCCCGTCTTTCTTTAAATAAAAAGAAAGTATTTATACTTATCATTTCTTTCGTTAACTTTTGCAACTTCAAGTACTATTAAACCTTCAGAAACATTCCGTATTTTCTCAATTCTCAACGAAAGATAGCCAAAATGGGTGATCAAGGCGATCAATTCACTGGTTCTTCTCAGGATGAAGAGTATATCGGCAACTCTGTTCTTTATCAAAAGCCAGAGTGCCCGGTAGCTTATGTTTCTAGGCTTCCTTCAAGAGTTCAGCACCAAGGTCCAGTCAATCCCCAAGGCTATGGCACTTTTACATCTGCATCTATTAGCGAAGCTACCATCCAACCTGCGTTCCAAGTACATCAACCATATGCGTATTCATACACCGATGGATTTGTGCAGCACAGCAACCAGATTCAGCAATATGACTCCGAATCTTCGCACTTTGCTCGCCCGACCATGTTAGCGGGCATCATACCTCAGGAAGGTTGGCCGTCGGAAAATCGCTATCAGCAACAGGCCACTTACGCACCCACATATACACCCACGTACGCACCTGTTGGAGACATCCCTCTTGAACAACTTGCAGCGAGTCGCAACCCGGCTCATCAAGCTGATACGCAAATCAATTACTCGTATGATGTGGATGCTAGTTCAGACGTCTGGAGCCCGGGTTTTTGTCAACATGCAAGTTGCCTTGCGAAGCCTTTAGACAAGCAAAAGAACTACCGAGAACACTCGGATTGGCGACGTCATTGGTTTCGGGTACATGATAAGCAACACAAATGCCTGATTGATGGTGCCATGTTCGGAACGGCCAAAGATCTCGAACGCCATATTGAAGCTAAGCATCAAACGGGTGCCAAAAGGCATTACTGTCACATCGCAGGATGCCAAGCTCGCGCGAGAGAGTTCAACAGGAAAGACAAGTTTCAAGAGCACAATGACAAATGGCATGGAGCTTATTGCTGTCCTGTTGCTTACTGCGATCGAGGACATGGCAATGGATTCAAAGAAAGGGGTTTGTTGATAGATCATATGCGCACTCGCCATGATGCGTGAGACTTCTTGTAGAAGATGGCCATGAGGAAAATGATTTATGACAGGTATGAAGACTTCTTTCAGCTAAAGGAATACACGGCTAACATCGCATTTTTTATCTTAGAATTATATATACGGGTCTATATATAAGGTGCCCCGGTTGCATAGCGCTAGGATCTTATTTGGTGATGATTGATGAGAATTTTGTCGCTGGCGACGGTTGGGATTGTGGTTGTGTCGAAATGAGCTTTTTGTGTTATATTAAAGGGAATCGTGTTTGTTTGCTGACGATACCCATGATTTCTTCATGATGTTTGGATATCAGTCTTTTGGATTTCTGGTTGAATTTTTTCGTTGGACTTTTTAATTCTTTCAAACAATTACATACCTGGACAATCCTTCTCATGTATCTCCAAGATGATGTCCATCATGTCGTGAAAATTGACAGGCCCCGCCAAGAAAGCTTGTTTTGCTAGGCCATTGAGTAGGGCTTATGGCGGTGTCTAAACCCCAGCAGAATTTCGGGATATCAGCAGATGTCTCAAGGAGTGATCTGGCGGACTATGTAAATATATAGTGGATCAATCTGGGTACCTGACGGTACCATTAATGTAATAAGACGCTCTCCAGTATACGGTTCCTCAAGAGACACTCTGATGGTAACATTGGTAATGGGTAGATGTTCCACTCCATATTATCAGTAGATGGCGCCAGTTTTAAACCCCAGACAGGAGAGAATTGTATATTGTTGATGGTGACCTTAAGGCAGAAGATCATCAACAGCAAAGCAAATCAGTGTGCCAGCTGAGCGTCGCAACAACAAAGATTGATTTATATGCCGAAGACGACACTATGTCGCTGACATTCAAACAAAGGCACGAACCTGTAGTTTTCCGCAGAATAGTGAGCGTAAATGAACATATCTCCGACTTTGTCTACGCCCAGACTTCAGACATCTGCCCAAATCATGCTGCAACGCAAGCTTTAACGCAAGCTAGATAGGTCCATGTATTAAAACTTACGAAGCCCTTAAGCCATTCATATGAATTTATTGATTTGTCGCTCAGAACACATGTAGGTGTTGATGTGAATTGGTGATTTTGGGGGAACTAGTGGTCCGGGAACTATGTACTAGCTGCACTACTAATGTAGTGCAAAAAGCAAAACCCACGCTAGTAATTGACTTCATCCGTATCTCGAATTTACAATATTGACACCAACGACACTCTGGGTGCTTGCACAGCTCTCGCAGCGGCCATGATATGGTGACTGTGTGCGAACAGTTGATTTCTTTGGCACAACTCAATATCATTCTCTTAGAAGAATTGCCAGGGTTCCAAATGTCCGAGATACGTGTTACTTCCCCCTGCGCTGGCCAGGGTCTCGTATGATGACTGCTGCTGAATACAGAATTACCTCTGACTTCACTGACATTGATTACCATGCCTGTATACGGCAGTATATTGTTGCTGCGATCAGTGTTGCAGTACTGTTAACGATTGCTGCGCTTCACGTCGTTTGGGCGGTCGTGATAGTCACGAACATTCTTCTTTGACATTTCGAGAACAAACGTTGTCGCTAGCATCCGTTCTGCTGCCCAGATCAATTTGGAAAATAGATGTTATATGTCTGACCGGTTAGAATTTACTTTATCGGACGTCTTGGATACACTTAAACCCTAACTGCGTTGTTGCTTATGGGGAAGCCAGCTTTTGTGGCTCGCCTGTGAGCTCGGTGACCTAATCCTCATATAATCGCCCAAGGCGCTTTAACAACGCGAGACAGAGAACGCAGCATCTTTCTTGAAGTTTGGCAGTACCTTATCGCCGCAAACGTATTCGCCCTAGGCGACCCAAGGAAATGAATATAGAAAGGTAGACAATCCGCTCGTCTAGAATCAAAACACTTCAAAACTCTCTATTCTTATTGACCTCAGACTCACGAGTTCAAGAAGATGTATCAATTCGAAATACGCGAGCTTATCAATGTCACCGGTATTGACAGTATCTCAAATTCTGACTCAATCAATAACCTGAGTCCACCACGCATTTTCGTTGCCGAATCAATCCGTCGCTACAGAACTACATTCAAGGTCAATTTCCTTTGAACCGCAGCGAGAGTCCTTGTCATCTGGTGAATCTGCCCATGATTGCCCATCATGTACAATTACCCCAAAACTAATGCCCCAGCAACCATAGGGACAACTTCCTCTCCCAACGTGATTTGAGCTTCTACTACTCTTCATGAGGAACGGTTCTGATCGGAGCTCTATTAGGCAGGCAAAGAGAAAGCTGTAATGTGGGAAGTACCTTCTATGATTTCCCTACCTCAGCCTCGCAATATGCTAAGACATGTACTGGATTCATGAGGTGTGCTTCTTTTTGAGAGTATTTTCTGGTCTATAGATGCAAATTGTTTATTCCATTCATTTGTTTTGCTCCATTCGATCTATTGACGCCGCTACGTCACAGTTTACCCCGCTATCAAATCTTCATCTTCAATGTTCAATCCTCACGATCACCAGCCTTTTCTCGCAATTTTCGATAAGTCGCCCTTTCTTTCTATGTCCTTTTGCCTTTTTTTCCTTCTTGTACATACTTTGCACTGCCCAACGCTGAGATTCATCAACGTTCTCGTGATACTTGCTTCATTAGCCGAATTTTGATCTCTGAGGCCCCAATTGCCCGGCTTCTGGATACCAGCTAATGCCATTTGCTGTTTATCTGAGGCGGATATAACGAGAGGTTGAAGCTTTCAAATTGCCTTGTAAAGAGAGCGTCACTCACAGCCATAATGCCCTCTTCCCTATAGTATAATGCTCAGCCAGTATTGCCCATAATGTTAAAAAGTAATCTGGGTTGTATGAGATATTTCTGTTGCCTACATAATATCCATTCATAACATCTTAAGTATCTGTAAGGAATCCGAGGCCCGTCAACAAATTTGAGTCTCCTCATTTTGATTGAGAAGGCTATCTACTGCGATTAGCCCTGCAAAACCCTTCATTCGATAAAAACTACAAGCCTTCGGTGAGTTTTATCAACGGACATGATATATTTTTGGCATTTGAAAGTTGCGTCTTTACTGATGATGAATTTCCGCAAACGTAGATACTTATTCGGGGGTGCGGAATAGTATTTGCGAAATATTACCTCTATTTGACAAACTGCCCGTACTATTGATTCCACAAGTTGTTGGGAAAAAATCGCCTAAGATACCATAAAGACTCATGGCGTGTAGGGTGTGTGGCTCCAGGGAAGACCAATATTGTTGTCAGCATGTCAACCGGGATTTACCTCCCGAACCTGATTATGCGACCACCACCAACAATTCTCGCCCTCATAGCTACTCAAACTTAAACCATGAGGCGTACATTAGCAATGTCCCCCATTATTCTCAATCAGTGGATTCATGTCCCATTGGAAACCAATCCACACTCCAACTTCAAGAGCCAGGCATCTCTTATTCCAGTGGTTACGCACCATCGACTCAATTATTCTGCACTTCAACTGGAAAAATCCGTGATTCCTTGTCTCTCTCTCTCGATCCAGGAGCCTTCACCAACAATGCACATTCACATGGATCAAGTGTTGGGTGGATGAAACAAAGCCACGGGGGCGATGAAGCAACTCAATTGAGCTTTGCGAAGCCAGGGCAGTCAATTGGGCCAGAAGTGGGGTGGCCAAGTTTGGGGAATCCAGATGCGCACCGCTCTTTCAATCCCGAATACCCCTCAACCAATTTCACTTCGATGAAAAGCTCGCAAGCATATTCCCTTAGTGAGTGTGATTTATCAGGATATGTAAGCAATTGGGAGCAAGATCCAAGTCAGCAGAACAACCATGTGGCCTCAGGAAATGAAGGAATACAAGTCGCTACAGAAGATAATAGCCGAATGAACCAGGCAGGTATTGTTTTGAGAGGCCCTAAGCCTTCCGACACATCGGAGGCTCGTTATCCTTTCGTCAATATGGCCCAATCGCAGTATTCACCCTCCTATTCGTACGAGCATTCTCGAATCCAGGAACCTTTTACCGTAGTCGCCACAAATCAAGAGCCAGCAGCTTTGAACAACCAAACCCAATATTCACTATCAGGCGCTATAAGTGATCAGTGGCAGTTTCCTTGCAAGTGTCCACATGAAAAATGCAGGCGCAACAATACAAAGATCTTTACAGAGTCTTCCGGCTTGCAAGCCCACTGGTATAGAGCACATGAAAAGCGATTCTCGTGCCGAGAGTGCAATGCAGTGTTCGGGACAGCTGCAGAAGTCAGGCGTCACTCGACGGCTATACATATCGATGGCCCTAAGGAATTTACTTGCGATATTCCACTTTGTGCTGGCCGCGCAAAGGAGTTCAACAGAAAGCATCGCTTGAAGGAACATATGGAGAAGTGGCACGGCTATTTCTACTGTTCTGCAATGGATTGTTCTCGGGGTCCTGGACACGGTTTCAAGGATCAGACATTACTGAATGATCACCTGGCCAAATCCCATGGCCATGGCGGCTTTAGGTAAATATGTCATCGGAAACTTTGAGAGGCAGTGAACTTTAAATTTGACCTTCCTTTGCGGAAAGATATCAATGATGTCAAGTATCGGGCTCATATGAGATTGAAAGAACGGTACGAAATCACAGCGCCACAACCTTATGAACGTTACTAACACTTTTTAGATTTGTTTATGTCAAATTTAAGCCTCGCCTCAATTCACGATGTGAGAAACAAGATCGCATGAGTGAGTACATAACTCATGTTAGTCGATGTCTTTAGTTTGAAAGCCAGGATCGACACCGATGTCGACACTATTCAAACATTCAAATGTGCCATTTGTTTAATTCCTTGATGAAGGAGAATTTGGATTGGATATTCACATACTATTTGATGATTTTACGATGGATTATGATCAACAATTCTTTAATGGTGAATTGGAAGTTTTTGGGTCTTTGGTTTCTATTGTCTGAACTTCTATATAACTGGTCCTTTGAATTACAAAATCTTCATGCTATTCGTATCCAATCCACCTCTATCAGATTAAGAAGTTATTATGTAAAGAAAGTGGCTCCAACTATTCAGTGTGCTGTGGTAGTATAGTTGCGGCCAACTGGGATCTATTAAGATGACCAAGATGAGGCTGGAGCAACCACTTAATCAATCCGGGTTTGGAGAGTTTGCAAACAGTCCAAATATTTAAATCCATGACTTTCCCCCCTTAGCAAAATTGCTCAAGATGCAGCAAATTTATTCATTTCTTCTTACTTTCCAGCGATTTCTCACTTGCGGCCGAGTAAGGAGACCCCCATCGAGATTAAAAGCCGAAGATCTGCCTCAAAAACACCTGCGAGTAACACAGCCATGTCTCGAAGAAAATTTTGATCAATCAAATTGCGAACAATTGGGGTACGAATCAGCCTCACACAGAACAAACAGCACTTGCAGTAGTGCATACAGCGATGGACAATGCCCCAATTCCCCCAAAGTTCCCAAGGGTCCTGCCTCGACACTGATGCACACGGCAACGTCGTATTGAGAGAATTTCCCAGGAGCTTTCCGGATCTCATCGAATCAGATTGTGCCCACTCAAATTGGGGCATTGCTCAAATTTTGTGAGTGACCACCCCCCCGCATGACGAGCCTTGTTGTGCTGATAGGGCATTTTTGCTAGTCCCAATGAGGAATGGTTCCAGAATGCCCCAAACCTCCCCTTTTCCTCAGCCGATTACGATTTTTTGTTGCCTAATTTTACATGCGATCCCAATATCGAAAGTTCGTATGTTCCAATGATTGGCGATTCTCCAATACTTGACACTTTTGATTTTGACGATTCTTGGTTGACTGGCGACATCTCTTCACCATCGCTTCCTTATGCTGAACAATTTCAATTTTGTAGCCCGACGTCGAGTTACGAGAAGCTTTCAAACGTCTCAAGAGAAGCTGTAACATCGGCTAAAGATAGCAAGTACGCTGATTTTTTGGAGTCTAATTTCAGCGGACCGGCTCAGTGTGATTGGAAAGGATGTACTTCAAAGGCAACATTTTCCACCCCAAAAGCTTTCAACAAACATTTAAAGAATATACATCTGAGACCCTTGGTCTGTGACGTTGGGGGTTGCGGCTATCAGAAACCATTTAGAAATAAGTATGACTTGGAACGACACCGACAAACTGCACACCTTCGTGCCCGTAACCACGAGTGTCCATTTGTGCACTGTGGAAACATCGGGTTCGCCCGCAAAGACAAACTATGGGTGCATATCCGGGAATGTCATGATCAATCATCTACTGTCAGTATATGTCCTGTAATTCACTGCGGGAAAGAGGTTGAGACGCCTGTCTCCGAGCACATACAGAAAGAACACGGAAGTTTTGAATGCGGGTTGAGCACGTGTGGAAAAAAGCAAAGTCGCTTCACGGATATTCAACTCGAAAGTCATTTGAGAAGCGCGCATGGATTGAATCCTGGAGAAGCTTCGAAAGCTGTTGGGGCGACCAAAAAAACTTCAGATAAAACGATACGAAGAACAGATCTCTACACAAAATCAGAGATAAGAGAATGTGCCATTTGCAGTCCCTAATGTTTGCTCGGTGGATTTATTTTATTACAGTATATAGTGATACGTTCAGGAGTCGTGCACACTGTAAATGCAGGAGACGAGATTTTTATATGGGTTACGAATGTGTTTCTTTCATGCATCGATTTTACTGGGTGTTTCTTATGTCTGGTCACTTTCTTATGTTATAGACCATGGAGGCGCAAGGAGGGATGGTCAGTGACTGGTTTATAATTTGATTATGTCGATAGCTTATTACATCTCAACTTTCCAAAACTTCTCCCATACAAAGAACCCAAATACTCGACACGTTGCACTGTCGTCTAAAAGCTTTTGCCTTATTTCTTGATAACTTGTATCTTGTAGATTTCACACAGGCTCTGGGGATACTGGGACAAAGACTAATAGTTAAGAATGGGGATATCTGTTGGATTTTCAACGTGACTGCACATTCTCATATTTCTGGTATTTAACGGGTCTTGTGTGTTGTTGTAGGATTGCACATGGTACACTGGCACTAAAATTTGTACATTGAATTATTTAAATGATCGATTTCTTTGTTATGATGATGTATCAAATACCCATTCCCAGTTATATAAACACCAAATCTACAGATACCCAGAAGAGCTTTTGACATCATGCAAAAGTTTGCGACCTCCCTGCAACAGTTCTTTTACTTGTGGATCCAGATCCACTCGTTGTTATTCCATCGGAGATTTCTTTTTCTGAAGGTATTCTAGTATCGCTTCGTCTGGGAAGTTTGTCTCTAGAATCAACTCCGCTTGGGAGGTATGACCTTGGAATCACTCTTATGTGAAGTTTTGTCGCCAGAATCACTCCGCTTGGCAGGCATAGTTATGGAGCTACTTTGGCTAGGAAGTTTGTCCCTGGAACCGCCCTGTCTGAGAGGTCTCGCCTTGGAATCTCCCTGGCTGGAAGTTCTTTCCCCAGAAGTACGCTGAATAGGTAGCTTGTCCCTAGAACTACCTTGGCTGGGGGGGTTGATCTCACGACGCTTTCTTTCAGTCTGTCTAGTATCGGAATCTTTACTCTCCTGATTTTTCTGCAGCACTTTTGGTGTACTCATAGACCCATTTGCAGGTGCGGAAACCGTTCTGGCTGGCTTTGGCTTTCTCTTATTGAGATCATGTGCCCAAATGAATTCGTCTTCCCTGTTGAGCACAGGTTTACCACTTGCCGGGCAGCACAGAATATGATCCCCTCTCTTAGAATCATATAGCCATCCTTTCGCAGGGTCTACTATCCTGTCAGTCGAAGATGGAAGCTTATAGTCCACTTTCAAGTCTCTAGTATGGTGAGCAAGCCTGAATATATTTTCGCTGAGCCCTTGTTCTGCAAACATTTCTATCCAATCGTTATAGCCTTTGTAATTCTTTCTTTCAAGGCAAATATTTGTGCAAATTTCAAAAAGTTTTGATTTCGCCGATACCCTGTAGTCGGCACTGTACAGAACCCCTAGAGTTTTTTCACTCTCACTTTCTTTGAATCTCATACTGGTGGGGCGATGTGCCAAATCGGGGCAGTAGCGAATGTTCTTGGAACGTTTAATTATAGTATCATGCGGCCTCTTCCGATCCGTATCTTCATATAATTGTTCATAAAACCATACGTAATCATCAGGCTCAGTAAAGATAGTGAGTTCTTTCGTCACAGGATCCCTTTTCTCTTCAGCGCTGTGGACGAGCCTGAATGCGAAAGGTGCGCATACTTCAACCAGTTTGCCGTCTTTGTAGATCGGTTTCGTGGCATCTTCACCAAGATCAAGAAGAAGAACTTTTGAAGTCTGTATAATCGTGGGCCCCATATTGTATCAATCGAGATGTTTATAAATGGTAGGTAAGTTGTAGTTGGGTGTGTTCAGTCATTGACGTATTGATTCTAATCCCGTACTAATCGAAAGAGTGTACGGGTTGCTTAAATAAACATTCTCACAACCTCCCTTCTAATCGACAGGTTGCAGAAAATTCACAGTTGTAACACAAACAGAGTCGACCACGCGGGGATTTCCCAAATTTTATGTCTTGGGAGGTCATTCATGAAGGGCCATAGTAAAATGCTTCTTTATCGTTCCAAAAAACCGGGACCAAAACCGCCGGAAGAGATTAGCTTTGTAGAAATTTCTAACCTATCATTAGCCCTCAAAAAATATTCTTGTAACGTTATCTGATATTTGTGTGTTGGGGTCCGATTTAAGCAGGTCCCAGTCGCTTGCGAACGAAAATTTAACCGGCTTTGGGGGCCATTCAGCAAAGATCTAGACCAACAGGAAGGCGCAATAAGTTCTGAAACAATTGAATGAAGAATGACGGGGATAAAATGATGATAGCAGTGGTTCTTGCTTGTTGTGGTGGCCGCGGGTTATCACAAATAAGCGCCACAGCTCATCTCGGTGTTATTACATGCTGTTCAACATGTCATTAACTTGAACAAGATGATGTTCAATGTAAAAGTAAAATGCGATAACAAAAGGGTTTGGATTTTTGCTGGTGGTAGATATTCTTCTGCTTAGTATAGAGAGCTACATATCAAACCCGAAATATCGACGTCTGTAGGATTTACCACGGGCGTTGAAAACTGGCGTAAACTCATGAAGACGAGTACGAGATGAACTACTTACTATTGTCATCCGCAAAAATCGAGATGCGTAAGGTAAGTTTTAAATAGAATGTACTTGCCCTCTCGTATTGTATCACAAGCTGAGTCACTGGACTGATACACCTTCAGTTACAAACTCTCTGAAAGCACGGCTCAGCTAAGTAAGTCAATAGCATCTTTCTGAGGAAATATGGAGATTGGGGATACAGGAAATGAGGCCATTTGCTACCTGAGTGCTGTGTTTCAGGTGATGCAGTGGCATTCAACAGCTCAAATATCAACAATCAGAGGGACTCAGCGACCAGCAGTTGATGAAGACCCTTTATGACGTAGATTGGATGTAGTTCTAAATCTCTTGGACCTTTGAAAAGATTTTTTATTCTGGTCTAATACTCTACCTTAATATCTCCATCAATCCACATAATAAGCTTACATCTGCATTTTCGATATGATTACGCAATATACCCTGTGACAACCAGATCTCACAGACATAACTCAATCATCACATCTTTAACAATCAACATTCCACGCTCGATGGTAAACACACATCCCCAGCATTCAACATCATCGAAGCATACAGAAACGCAGCAGACTGCTGAACGGCTCCAAGAATCCTCCCGCCTGCCCCAATACAGCCTCAGAAGCTTTGACGACGGCATGTCTAACGGTCATCTGGTCCGAGCTAGTTTCACAGCGACTTCATATACAGCCTTTTGACGAGGTGTCACGCGTGACGGACAGTCTCCCCGCTAGCATCCTACAACCTGTGAGGTTGTTAGGCCTGCTTTCTCAGCCAAGATCTTGTGTGCATAAAGTTCATATGTCGCTTGGTGACTGATGAAACGCCGAGAACAGCACACTCAGCTTCGCTTGGGACAAGCAGGCCAGCCACGGCTAATTGCAAATTCACCAAGGTTGTGCAAACCGTTGGCGTGTAACTGATTTCAATATCAATTTGGGTATTTGACAAAAGAATTTCCATGACAATACTAACAGCAACATGTTGAAGGGTCCTTGGTGTGATCCATCTGCATCTTCCGTGACAATAGTATTTTTGTATACAGCCTTTGTGATATTTGCCAGATAATTGTATTGAACAAGTTGAGCCTCATCGAGATCATCACTTGACGGCGCGAGAGGGGGAAATCTGATGGCTCCTGTACAAGATGAAGATGTCATATTGCGGGATCGAGACGAAGCGGAACGGGGTATTTTAACGGATACGCCAAGAACTGAGGATACGCAAGGTGTAAAATTGAGAGCAATACTCACATATTTGACTGGAACGAGCCAACATGTCGAAAGGGGGGGATCGTTGTTATATAGACTAGCAGTAGAGAGAGAAATCTGATATGTACATAAGAAACAAGTGAAGCATGAAGATCACATGTGCATACAAGTAGATGAAGAAATTGAAGAAATTACATTGTGATTCAGTGGTCAAATAGAATCACCCCTGTTCAATATGTGCGGTCGCGGCGCAGAATCACTAGCAAATCTTTTGAAAGCTCCACATTTGATATAAGGATGCTGTCCGTAACGCATTGCACTAGTATGTCATGAACTCTTCAGGTCTACAAATGAGCCAGGGGTTAGCTAAGCTGATAACGACGGTGTCAAATTGGCCTCGACTAGCATAAGATACATATTGTACCAAATGCTAGAGAAACATGATTGCATTACATGTAGCTATTGAATGAAAAATTAATCCTTGTGACATTGAATGCATGGTTGTTCTCAATTCTTTCATGATAGCTCGCTTCAATCCAGGGGGAACGTATCACTCATATCCACCCCAGCCAACCGTACCGCCCTCGGGGCTTAAAAATTAAAAAAAAACGCAGAGGGTATCGAACTTTTCCTTCAAAACAAAACACTCAAAATCATCAGATCCCATATATTGTCAAGGATGCTTTTTCCTCCTTAATTATGCGCAACATCCCCACTTAGATACATGCAATAATAATGCATCACATGTTATGTATAGTGCAGCCAATACAAGCGCAGTCGTCGCCACATGGACAAGTGTCCTTCTCCCCAGGACAAGGAATATCTGGAACGCGATGAATAGTGCAGCCTAAACATTGGCAATCATCACCGCAGGGGCAGCTTTGAGTTTCTCCTCCACAGCCATCTTCCGCGCTGAAGGGATAATTTACGAAAAAGAAATCCGACGCTGAAAGGCTCTGTTCTTCTGCAGTTCCGGAAGTGGTACTAGAAGGAGTGGCGGGAGGCGGAGAAGTAGGGTTCTCCTTGATAATATCCTGTGTCTGGATGGACGTAGGTGCAATATTCCCATTCGAGTTGATACGCCCATGTGCGTGACCATTGCTGTACAAGTCCGGTTCAACCCGCATCGATTCCCAAGCTGAAAGGACGTATTGTCTTGTCGCATCGTTATATGGATGAGCTGCACAGCCAACACATTGGCAACCATCACCGCAACCACATGTATGAACGGTTTCGGGATTTTGGGCCATTTGAGTTGGATCGAATGTCAAAGGCGCGTTAGGAATAGATGGTTGTCCTTGAACATGTCCGTAACTCATATCGTGGACACCTTGGCGCCAGGCGGATGGCTGTAGTGGGTTTTGATAAGAACCATATGTAGCAGGATATGTAAAAACGGTAGGTGGGTATTGTGAATACATGGCATTATTCATCGGGAATCCATTTTGTGGTATTTGTGGGTTCATCATAGGAGTGTTTGCTTGGGAGTTTTGAGTCGATGAGGGCTTCTTCTTTGAAGAACAACAACTCTTAGGTTTAGGTGTAGCTTGCGGGGGTTCTGACATCGTACTGGCATTCGAAGAAGTGTGACTGTGGGTATTTTGTTTGGGCGCACAGCATGAACCACTACCCGTAGCGACATTATCGATATGAGGTGGGGTTTCTGGAGTCGATGGCGCACAACAAGAACCACCATTCGTTTTAGGAGTAATTTGGCCATTCTTCACTTCAGTCGGTGTTTCGAGAGGATTCTCCACAACTTGACCTAAGCTGCTGAGCCCATTCGTAAATCCATTTGTTCTTATGTCTACTATTGGTCCTCCCAATCCATGCATAGGTGGAGGCAGTTGAACAGGAACGGTGCCATATTGTTGTTGCATGATGGAATATTGTGGTGGACCATACCCATAGAGTTGAGGAGCAGTCGACATATGATATGCATTTGAGGGAATAATCTGCATTCTTTGGGTATGTTGATCGAAGGGAACTATATTGACTTGGTTTAAATCCATCCGTTCCAAATTCACAGGATCAAATGATTGTTTCCTACTCGACTGTGGCTTCGATGCTGTCTTTTGTATTTTAAATGTGAGTTGCGTCGGGGAAGTAGGGTCGGATATGGAGTTGACTCGTTGTATCGGAGCCGGAGGGGTCGAGACAGGTGTGTCGGTACCACAGTGGCATGCTTGCTTCCTTGGAATAGCAGCAGTAACACTCCCACAGTTGCATGGTTGATCTTTCGAGTGAGGGCATGCACTGAGTGGTCTTCCGGGCTTCCTCACCGGTACCATCAGTCTCTCATTCGCGTGTGTACATTTTGTTGATCGATGGCCTCGAATACATGGCTCACTATGGTTATTTTATGTTAGCATATCGGAAATAATTGGTAGATATATAAAGTATATATAGGAGTGCGTGTGTGTGTATATATATATTCTTGGTTTGCGAACCACTTCATATATATAAATTGATGAACACAACAAGGATGAATGGGTCTCAACATACCAGGCCATTTTCAATCCATTGATTAACGGCATCTTCTTGACAATTGAATAACTCTTGTCGTCGATCCAAAACTAAGTGGGCTGGCCCAAATGGACAGACTTGAATTGAAGTGCAGGTAAATTCTTTCAGACAACCTTATCTCGATGTTGATTGTGTCCCGGGAATCGCTATCTGCCTGCGCAACGACCGCACAGAGGGGAAATCGGAAAGATGATCAGCGTCTGACTTGTGCGACTGATACGGAGATGGTTCCTGCGTGTTTCCGAAGAATCTTGAGTCCCCAAGGTATGGTTGGCAGAGGGGGGGGGAGGTTTCAAGATGGAGTGAATTGTGATGAATCGATATCATGAGAAAAAGTAGAGGTACTACTAGTACCTAGGTCGGGTAGTATGGATCCAGTGAAGAAAGGCTGAATTGAGCTTGATTTATTTTACTTCGGGTATAATAGGATAATAGGGTGAATTGAATATTTCTGGTCCAAAGTAGGGAGGAGGAGAAGTGTTTGAAGCGATCCGAGCTGAAGGTAGAATAGGTCAGGTAAGGTAAGGTCAGGTAAGGTAAGGTCAGGTCAAGTCGGGTCAGGTCAGGTCAAGGTAAGATGTTAGCAACAATGAAGCCTTGTTTGTTCTTTTTGACCAGTTTTTATTGAGGAATTGTTTAACTGATTTTTCTCGAATTTGATTGTTCTATTCGTAAGGACAGGAGGATGATAAACTTGGACCGTGTGAATAATAAGGCTTCCCTACGAATATTGAATGGGAGGCACTTGAGTTACTCATGATATCGTAAGATCTCGATATGGTAGGTAGTAGATGTCGCGTATAGTATGTATGTATGTATGTAGTAGTATACTCGGTATGTAGTGCGTAGTGGGGTGAGCGTGTGAGTGTCAATATTGAATTGGAAGATGTGCCTCGAGTATGCTCAACTGCTTTTCATTTGCTGGACTGGAAGAGTGAAGAGTGAAGAGGAGTGAAGTTTGGAAGAACCTGCAAATCAATGAGCAAGTTTTGATTGGTGGCATTTAATGGCCGTGCGTTGGATCCTCTTGAATACTCGAGTATTGAGTATTCTCGGTATTCGACCATCTACATTACATCTACATCTACATCATCAATACGAGATATGCTAATGGTCCGCTTCCTCTTATTGCTTACTACAAATTGAAAATCTTGTAGGAAGTACCTCGTACCAATATCTACCTTGGAATCGATCTTCACTACCCACCTAGTTTATACAAGGCGAAACAATGGAGTCGATTTGAAAACTGGGAAGGCTGCGCTAGTCCTCGGATCAGAGTTGAGATATCAAGATGATGTCTAACGTTAACGTTGACTATTTATCTGTCTATCTGTCTTCCACTTACCATAAGAATGTCCGCTCAACTACTCGTAACAACCCCTTATATCTGGGGGCAAGCCCCCAAACCCCCATAGCTCGCTTCGCTCGAAGATGTTTTCCATGTAACAGGTATCTAGCATTGAGTCTATAAAATGGTCAAATAGTCTAATAGTCTGCCTCCACGGCAGTGGCCCCCGGAGGGCCAGCGGAGCGTCATTTGTTTCATTGATGTAAGTGTATTTCCTAAGTCTCTGCTGTCAAAAGATTAGATTTTTAACTTCATCATTTCTATCTCTTTCATCCCAATACGTAGATGTCTGCTAAGTACCCTCTACCTACGAGTACATATTGGTCGTATTCTGCACTTAGAAAATTCTATCCATCAAGGTCATGTAGATCAACTACTAGAATTGGTGAACTGAATAATACACTAAGAGCAAGCCATCTCGGCCGTCACCCGTGCCCGCATAAAAGTTTGATCTAATTCAAACCTTCAAGGGACCATTTTCATTCTTCATGCAAAGCCACATTCTCTTCCATACCAACACTCAATACAAAGAAACAATACCATGGTTCGCTTATCTTATCAAACAGTACATCTATTGGTTGCTTCGATAAGTGGCTGGGTAGCTGGGTGGCTGGCTTTGTATAAATGGCACAAATTTGCATAAATCTATCCTAGTCAACCTGGAAGTCTGCATAATGATGGTGGGGTAATATGAAAATATATTTTGCAATACTCTCGGGGGTATCATATATTCCAAAACATTACCAGTAGGAGAGAAAGAAAACATTCAGAAACAACGAGACGACGAGACGAAGAGCCGGCGAAACAACTTTAACTCAAAGTACAGTTCTCTACTCTCCCCAAAAGCAAGCTTTCATAACAAGGTAAGCATATTTAACTAAGCACACATTGGGGTTGTGGAGCGAGTCTCCTTAACTCTATCTCTATCTCTATCTCTATCTCCATCTCCATCTCCATCCCATCCATTGATTGATTCATTCATTCATTCATTCATTCATTCATTCAAGCATCATGTTTCACTCAGAAACAGGTTTAGAAGTTGGGTTGGAATGAGTTTATTCAATCTGATATTGTCAAACAGTAGGGATTTCACAAACCCTCTGACAAATCTTTCATCTCAAGCACTTCTTATTTTTCGCCATTCTCTCAACTGTCCCATTTCGTAACTAACACATTGACCTCGTTTCGTCTAAGAAGATTTCACACAAACATCATAACAAGCACGTGATTACTTACTTAATTCTATAATCTATCATGGCTGATTCCGATTTCGAAGATGGTCCCGATCTATTCGCCGAGCCGGAAGATTATTATCCTCCATCACCGAAACCAACCACCGAAACCCATACGTTACTTTCCGGTCAGACACTTACTCTGCATCTGGTCGGTCACAATCCACTTTGGGGTCATCATCTGTGGAATGCGGGTCGCATAATATCCGACTATCTGGAAAAGAGTCCTTCTCTGATTACTTCCAAATCAGTATTAGAGCTCGGTGCAGGTGCAGGTCTTCCAAGTCTTGCTTGTGCCTCTCTACGTGCCAAAAATGTTGTGGTTACGGATTATCCAGATTCGGACCTCATCGATAATCTCAGAAAGAACATTTCGGTATTCTATGAGCAATTCCCTGAACTGAGAGTAAATCACAAGGAAAGCCTGGTTGCTGAAGGTTATTGCTGGGGCGCTGATCCATCTCCGCTACTCTCACTTTTACCTTCGGAAGAAAAGGAGGCTGGCTTCGACGTATTGATACTCGCGGATCTTCTTTTCAATCATTCCGAGCACGCAAAGCTGTTGGATTCTATTAAGAAGACTCTGAGAAAGAGTAAGGATTCTACGGCCTTGGTATTTTTTACCCCATATCGACCCTGGTTATTGGAAAAAGATATGGCATTCTTTGACTTGGTACGAGAGGGAGGTATGACTGTTGAGAAGGTCTTAGAAGAGAAGATGGAGAAAGTAATGTTCGAAAAGGACAGAGGAGACGAAGAACTGAGAAGGACAGTTTTTGGTTTCGTTGTGAAATGGGCTGAGGAAGATAGTAGTTGATCATCAGCAAATAGATAATTGATTCCGACAGCTGAATTTGGAAATCGGCCGGCTAAGCTGTGCTTCGCTGCCCAATTATGGCGGATTGGATTTTCCTCCCCATGAATCACGGATCTTGAATACCGCAGATGACAATCAATATGTCCTGCAATATACGCGAGAGTCTTTATGACACGTACAGCCTACTGTTAGCCTATATTGTATTGGACAGATCGCAGAAGTCATTGCTGCAGAGTAGAACAAAAATCACTGATGGTTTTACTACCATGAATGAGTAGTGAGAACTCCGCATTTGCGCAACAATCATTTACGTAACATCAAAAACCCAGCTCCTTCAAACTGCCATTGTATCCCACAATCATCAAATAACAAATTCTCAACAACAACTTGACTCATTGCATTAAAATTTGCACATCACGAATTACGAATGGAGGTGCATGGGTGACATGAGCATGAGTTCCTGTGGCCGCCGATGTCAAGTAGATCCAAATTCGAAGCAATGAATTTTGATCCCCCAAGTACATTCCTCCACTAGCCAACTCGACTACCTTCCTACAAACCCAGTCTTCCAGCTCCCCAAGATCTTTTATGAAACGAAGCTGCATCTTTGGCGCAATTACCATGGCATACTTTTGCATCTTCAGTGATCAACCCGTAGGAGGTTGACAGACGTGACAGAAAAGGTCAACGGGGTTTCCATTTGCTGGAACACCGATGATAATGGTTTGCTCTTCCAACTTCTACTTAGATCCTTCTTTGGTTGCTGTCTGGATCTATTGAACTCTGGTTCTCTATCTAAATAAAACCCATAGAAGTGAGTCCGTTATAGTTGGACTAGAAAGAAAGCAGGGAGAGATGATCGCTTTCGTTTTTTGGGTATTCGTCCAAGTGGGTGAAAGAGTGTACTACCTAGTTTTCCAGTAAAATTATTCCTATCCACTTGAACCTTGTGCATTCTACATACCGTATGTAGTGTAAGTGTTTCTAGGTATCAATACCAAAGGTTGAGTTGACAGGTTGACAAGCAACTCCATCTTGGTTTTCCACGTGGGAAGATGGAGAATATTGCACACATATCAGACGTCTCCCATACCAATGATTAACTTTACTGTTCATCTTCGGTCTCATAGAATATTCGTCAGTAGAATTGTGCGGTACCTGCTTTCGATCCAATTTTATGCCATGGCTCTAGAATGTCATGGAATATATGATCTATTTGAAGTCATCGAAAATCTAATGGGAAGCAACAGAAACAAATGAGTGAGGTTTCCTTAGAATGTTATCAGTTAATGTGAGAATATGAACAATAATTATTCATTTCATCGAAGATTTCGCAGGCATAGAGGGGTAACATGATGTCCACATGCGTGTGTAACAGTGACAGTCACAATTGGAATTACAAAAGGACGATTTTTTTCCAAGTACGTGGTCTGAGTTCGTAAGGAATGCAGCGCTAGGTGATTTTTAAACCCCGATATTGCAAGATGTTTCTCATTAAAGATTTAAAGATCAACAGATCTCGCATTGCAAAGCGTTCTCCTTGGAGTTTTTTATGGTTTCGAGTGAACATTTCTTTGTTCCAAACAAGCGGGTGGTTATACGAGAAACGTGTTTTTCGTCCCAGCTTTCTTAGGATGTCAAAAACTATGCTTCTTTGTCCTCAAAACTCTCGAATAGATCTTGAATACGAGTCTTATGATGTATCTTCCACTCTGACCTACTGTTCCAGTAATTGTATCAATCCACCTCGCACGAAAGATGATGTTCCTATGTTCTCCTTCGACGAGAAGAACTTCCAGTGATTCAATTGTTTCTCGATGAAAGCATTGATAGAGCAATGGACAGATGGCAAATCTCTCAAGAGATTGCTTAGTTCGGTGTTCATTAAAGGTGCTCGATCAAAGCAGATATCTGATTCCACAGCCAAGCCTTTGCCCAGAATTAACGCGGATTTTGTCCCTGAGCCACTCAGACAGCAATGACATCAACTTCGGCATATCAGGACTCGAGCAGAAGAGAGACCTCATCAATTTCTACATTCGGAAGCGAGTTTTTGAGAAGAATAAGAGCAAGTAGAATAACTCCTAATGCGGATAGTCCTCTTCGAAGGGAACCTCTACCGCCTTCCAGCGTAGTATTGACTGATGCCACATCGCTTTCATCTCCACATCAACAAAATCTCAGGAAATGCCGTACATGCTCCTATGAGCCGCCGGCATCAATCATTGACCCGGGAGAACCATCAGGGCGAGCACCTTTGACTGCAAGGTACCCCGAGATATTCACCTATATAGGACGAAATGGCGTCCCAAATTCTGCTCTAGCATTGACAAATGATATTGTGAGGAACTTGAACGAGATATTCTACCTCGAGGGGCGGTTCAATGATCATACGAGGATCATGAGTCGATTGGATGATGAACATGAGTGTGTTGAGATGACTTTGAAAGAACTCAATCAACTACTTTCATCGTCAGGTACCACAGTTCAAAGTGATCGAGATGCGAAATCGGAAGAATTGAAGTATCTTTCCAATGTTTCCTCGCGTATTCAAGAACAGAAGCTGGAGTTACAGGAAGTTGCGGAACGCGAACATGAAGAACTAAAGGAGCAAAGAATTATCTTATTTAACATGTTCAGGGACGTTTTCAGGGATCGAAATCTTCTAGATCTAAGAGGAAAGAGTTTCCGACCGAATCAGTTCTATCGCATGCCGGCCACACGACTCGCACCTCTACATAAAACACCTCGAGTTTCCACCCACAGTGAAGAAGCTCGAGAACGAGTCGAAAGGGAACAACGAGAAGCTGTGGATCATATGAAGGACATGGGATATCGCCTGGAAACAATGCATCAGCGACTTGATAATTGGAAACATTATTACGAAGAGGAATATACAGAATATGCACGTGCGGTTAAGAATGGAACAATGAAGCCTGCGAGGAGTTTCTTCGATTTGACTCTATTGCAAGAACATCAGGGGGCGATTGAGGGAGTTATCGAGGCGGAGAATGACTACGAGAAAGCAAGGGGACGAGTAAGGGTTTTAGATGTGGTGCTTAGTGATATTTTTCAGTCTAGTGGGTTTGCAAACTGTCCAGATGATGGCTATAGGATCTCGATGGAAGAGGCTATGGTTGGTGATGTGGATAGAGAGTGGATTCTAGATTGGATGGAGAGGAACGATGAATCGGTAGAATTTGAGGCCGATGAAGACTTATGGGAAGCAAAATCAATTGGCTTGGATGATAGTGTCAGCGTTGTTGCGAAAGGAAGAGAGAGAAAAAGAATTGATAGGTGGGCAGAGATGTGTACGGCAGTTGGGAATGACTTTCCAGAGTTGCCGAAAGTGGTGCATCATAAGCCTGCGTCTGAGCCCAGCCAGAATGCTTCGATATTGCAAATCAACGATCCAGATAGCGGATCCTAGACTCGCTACTACTCAGTCTATCACTCTTATATGTCTAATTCTACACTTAAACTATAGACAGCACTCCTTGAACCAGTCACAATCTGTTATATTTTTTTATCTCTAGCTATGCCACGCAAAAGGATTCCGAGTTTCCAATCTTCAATATGTTCAAACTGTGTAGTAACCATATATTCACATTATTATCTACAATATAAGTATCTAAAATTTGGTACACACTTTTGTCGTGCGAAAAAAGCGTAGTGCGGTTTACTAGAAGATGCCGATCTGCATTCTAGAGTACTTCCAATTTAGTAGAACAAAGGAATCAAACTTAGCTAGCCACAAAGAGAGAACACGAGAAGGATCGCAATCTAGAAGGACACCTAGCGTTTATTTATCTTTATTTGAGAGATCTTTGGAGAATTTCAATTCAATCAATCATGTTTCGATAACTGATCGGATTCTAGGTAAAGATCAGATATCTGTCACGATTTTTCAATTTGCCATTGCTTCGGATTAAGGGAGAATATTTACTGGATATATCATGTAAGTACCTACAGATATAGACGGGTTTTCTAGTTTTATACATACTGGTGAAACCAAGTAGAACGGGACGACAATTCAGTATTTTTTTGTGCTCCTGTAAATCCATAGGGCCTCATGGTCCTCAGACTTAACAGCTGTTCATAGATCTGATAGATAATGGCTGATGTCAATCTTGTTGGTCGTCCCGTTTGCTACGGCATTTTTGCATCTCGGCTAACCTTTTTGCCCAAGCTCCGTCTACGAGTAGCACTCATGCGAGTAAAACCCATGCAGATTTGAGCGAAAATATAGAATGGTCACCTATGATCGAATTTAATATTACCGGGGGTGTAAGGATATCGGAAATTCATGGTCATAAGTCTGAATGGTAATATCCAAACTACTTCGTTACTTATCCTTGCAGTCACATATTTCTCATTCAAAAATCGATCGAAAACTTGGACTAAGCATGTACAAAATCAGTTCGCCTAGATTAGGCAGCATGGTTCTGGCAAGAAACCCGTGGAATGGTGAATTATACATCAGTGCTTTTTAATTGGATACTAGTGCCACAACCAAGTTGAACATATTCAACAAAATAAACACTATGCAATATAGAGAACGTTTATAGTTCGGGTTCTTGTCCGAGTTCTTGACTTCTTGCCAAGCTGGACCTGGATCAACCCACGTTCCGGCTTCTATCCCTCTGTTTCTGGCCTTTATATATTTGACAACTTCATCTGTGTATTCGATAAGATCAAGTTCCTCCCCCTTCTCGAGTATATTCCCTTTCTCTTTCTCTCTGGGTAGCCATTCATCGTAAACATCTCAAATGCTGTTGGGTTCTCTTCACCCAGCAAATACAGTGCCGTCTCTCTCGTTTTTCCCTTTCAGCTTCCTTGTTTTTGTTGGCTACTAACCGATATCCCTATATCGTGCACGTCCCTGTATCGTGCACGCTTTTTTAGCTTTCAAAAACATCAATATCACCATCTAAATATCGCGATAATATATCTTCAGAAAGCTATATGGAGCTTGCGCTAGATTATATTAAAAGCCAAGAATGTCCTAAATATATCCAGATAGCTCATTTATACAGAGTCGATTGTACTACGCTCTCAAAACGGCATAAAGGCAAAACCACTTCCTGCAAGATAGGCTATGCCGATGCATACCATGTTTTTTATTAGAATAGGAGGAGGCTTTATTAGATTAGATTAACAAGTTAACATAAAGATCTATACCTTTTACAAATGCTATAGTTAAGAACTTAGCAGAAGAGATAAGAGGGTGCTCTGTAGGGAAGAACTGGATAGCCAACTTCGTCAAACGGTATAAAAGTCGTATTCAAGTCGGTATCTTTGTTGCATTGATAATTTGTGTGTTAAGGCTGATAATGTGGATATGTTTGAATATTTTTATGATTTTGTTGGTGCTATTTTATATTGTTGTTGATTTATATTATTTAAAAAAGCTTTTATTAATCTTTTTCTTTTATCCATTTAGTTAGCAAAAGTGATTATAAAATATGATATTGCATCAAAAAACATATACAATTTGAAACGAAAAGGGATTCCTGATCGGTCTTGGAAGAGCTATAAAGAGGATAATGAGTATTAGTACATATAAAAGAGGTAAAGTTACGAAAACTAAATAAAACGGATTGAAAGAGTTTATTACCCTCTTAGTATATATAACTACCAACAGTATAGCTTTATCACCTACCTTAATCTATAAAGGGGAATCAGGCAATCTACAAGATATATAGATTGATAAGGTGGGCATAAAAGATTAAGCTTATTTCGGAATCTCAAGCAATAAGTGGTTATCTAATACTTTTGGGCTTAATTAGCTTACAAAAATCTTTCAACACCATACACATCTAAAAGCAAGCAAAGGATACCGGTTATTGATTGTAAATGATCATTCTAATCATATCAATATAGAATTTATATCAAAATATAACGAATTGAAAATCATATTATTGATTCTGCCTCTCTATTCTATACATCAACTACAACCATTCGATATGAGCTACTTCCTCCCCTTTTCGATGAATTATGACATAAAACTCAACAATTGGATACATAAAAGCAGAGGTTTAATTAATATATCGAAATACAACTTTTGGGCTATCTTTAAAGTGACTTGGGCTCAATCTGCGACTTCCCATAATATATTACGATTCTTCGAAAAAGCGGGCATTTATCTACTCAACAAGGAGGCTACTATACCTAGCATAGAGCCAGAAAGAGCTATTACACTATTTATATCGATACAGCTTATAGGGGATAAATTTAAAACACTATATACATCAAAAGCTCTATATCGATTTAAATTAGAATTTCAACGAAATCAGAATTTCGAGATTACTTCGAAGCTTTTTAAGGCTGCTTTTGTTAATGCAGTTAAAACTGATATTCAATTGTATAGAGCAAAAGATCTAAAAAAGACTCTAAAGATAAAAAGAAGAAAAGGATTCGTTCCAAGCATTTAAATCTTATAGGGAAGAAAACTAGTAATACTTTTTTATACTCCCCTTTTCAGATTGAAAGAGTTAAGATTTTCCAATCAGAGAAAACGCTTGTTATAGAATAGAAAAAGGAAGCTAAAATATAGGAGAAGGCTAATAAAAAAACTAAAAAGAAAAAGAAGGTAATTAAAATTAAAAAGAGGGTAGTACAAAGAGAGATGGATCATCAACTTATAAGAGATACTAAAAAGGAGATTAAAAGAGCTTGTAAATCAATAGGATTTTCTATTAAAAGAGATTTAAAGCTTCAAAAAGGTTTATATACTATAGATCTAATATCTAAGAAAGCTATAGAGCTTTTTAATATAATAGTGGTGGATGAATCAATAATAAAAGAAGGGGAGGGGGTTATATAGTCGAAACGAGGCCGACAGATCAAGATTCCTACAAGGTTTAAATAAGGAAGTTTTAAATCTTCTTTTCTAATCTATTATATCTTATTATACTTTTAGACAACTTATAGCTTTATATCTTATTGAATATATTTTATTATTAAATATTGAAGTTGTCATAGGGTGAGTTTAAAAACGTGCACGATACAGGGACGTGCACGATGTAGGGATATCGGTTACTTCATTCCGGTGTAACAATCTCTCTGCTTCCAATCCACTGGGCTGGAGTAATTTCTTGAGCCTTTCTTGGGAGAAATCGTGTTCTTTTGCGAAATCTTTCTTCTTCCCTCGGATTACTATGTCTCCAATCCATTCAGGCAGTGCCCTGAACAAGTCCATATTGAGCTCTCTTTCTGTGGCCGGACCTTGGAGTTCTTGTAACAGTTCTCTGGCGGATGGCCTTTTCTTATGATCAAGCACTAAGGATCTTTGAAGCATGGCTTCAAATTCTCCACTGTACAGATGGTCGATGGACTGGACCCTTCTGGGATCCATTGTAATCAATGTCTGTTGTTCCTCCGTGAGATCTGCAAATTTTTTGTCTTTGGGAATAGCTCTCTTAGTGGTTGTTCTTTTCAGAGAAGCTAGGGAGTATATGATTGAGCCAGCACGCCAGATATCAGTTTTGGCACTCCGCCAAGTTAATTCTGGAGGGTTATGCTTGTAATCAAGGTCGGCTTTGTCGGAGATGTCCTCTGAAAATCCACCTCCGAAATCAACAAAATTTGCTTCTCCGAAGTCTCCTAACTTTATGTCCGGATACACGAGACTTGGCGACGCGCCCTCGGGCCATGAAAGATATATATTCCCGGCTTTTAAGTATGGCATGATAATTGATTTACGCCCTTTGTGTAAAGGATCGTTCTCGTACTTCGGATGATCATTGTGGAGAAAAGCCAGAGCATCAATAACGCTGTGATAAAGTTTCCACAAAAATGCTTCGGGTGGCCGTTTTTGACGGAATTTGTAAACTGCACGAAATTGTTTGACAGTGCCAGCGTCACAAAGCCTGTAAAATTGGGCTAATATGAGTTTACCCTTGTCATTGCGGTATTGATGAAAAGCTTCAAGCTGTTTGATAGTTTCATGACCTTTCTTAATAAACCGAAGATAAGCTTTTATTTCGGTTTGGTGTTTAGCATTGTAGCTTTTACTGGCGATCTCGCTTGGTGAAGTTGCTGCGTCTTCGCTAGCTGGAGACAATGGGGGAGAAATCCTATCGCCTGTCTCATTTGTTATAACACTCAGCTTGAGGTCAAACTGAGGTTCCGTTGGATGTTTCCTATCTGTGATTCCAAATTGAGTGGTTTTATCATAGCTGCGCAGGTGGGAATCAATCCGGATATTCTCAAGCTGCAAGGCAAGGTCTGGTTTATAGGGGTTCTTTCGAAGGTTGATGGTGGGAATGACGCGTAAATAATTAACGGCCTTGCTCTCAACTTCAAATGGTGGAGGCATAATGTTGATGGTCACTCAGGATACGAGTTGTTCCATGTCAAGTATAGATATTCAAGTTTGATGATTTCTACGTTCTTTGAGAATAAAGCCTATTGAAACCTTGAATAAAGGATGCGACCGTTGTCAAAGAACTTAGGTATACGATATCCGGAAATGTCGAATTTCCTTTGTTGTGTGATTCCTATCTACCTAGAAATATTCCTGAAACAATGAAACGTTATACGTAATCATATTCATCTCAATGAACTTTACTGGAGCTTTAAGTAATATAAGATACTATTAAATATTTTCTTTAATCCAGTTAATGAATTCGGAGAATTAACGGAAACCGATTGGTATTACATTATATAAGCATAATTACCTCTATAATAATGCTATTTTTTTAAATACATGAGTATGAAATCTTTTCTAATTGGTTATAAGTAACGTATAAAACTTTTAGTCGTTTGAAGTTTATTTTTCTAATTAAATAGAGAAGAAAGTTCATAAAACTAGTAGAGGAAGTTTATAAAGTTATTTCAATTAAATATATAGTTTTAATAATTTGAGAAACAGTTGAAAAAGAAGTAATTAGATTAAAAGTAATTGAAAGTTTTTGAATACTATAATTAGTTTTAGAATACGGTTTGAAAAAGTAGTAGAATTAATTAATTGAATTAAGAGAATTGATAAATGTATTTAAATATATATTTATAAGTAGAGATATAACTATTTAAGATAGAATTGCTTTAGATAATTCTCGATATTAGGATCTATAAATAATAATTATGAGAAGAAAACATATAAGAAAACAATCTTAGAAATAAGAAATTAATTAACGATTAAAAGAAACTATGATTCTCTTATAAAATTATAAAAAAAAGAAAAAAAAATTACAAATATATATATATTCAATACAAGAAATATAAAAAATATAGGAAATTTAAGAAATTTAAGAAGATTAAATTATTAAAAAGAAAAATAATCAAAATAAGAAAATCTAAAAAATCTAAGAAATCTAAAAAATCCAAGAAATCTAAAAAATTAAATAATTTCAAATTATCAAACAAGAAAAATAATCAAAATAATAACTATAAGTTCAAACTTGTATATATCAATATTAGAGGTAATAGTAGTAGTAATATTAATATTTATTAATATCTATTAATCAGTATAAGACTACCTCTGAGAATTTTCTAAGGGGTATAGGAATATATTAAACTATAAATTTATTTAATATTTTAAAATGCAATTTATATATAAAGAAAAAGGGAAAAAAGAAAACGAATATTCTTAATAAGAATAAATAGTAATATGAAATTGAATGATTTTGAGAAATTCGATTAATGTTAAATACAAAAAATAATTAAAATCTTTTGTTATTAATAAAAATAAAAGTAAAGATAATTATTTAAATTATTTTCTAAATTAAATTAATGATTTTCGATATAATATTAAATATTTAGAAATCTTTTAATGATTATAGAAATATTCCAAATTAGTATTTTGATATTTAAATTTTTTATAGTATTATATAAAATCTATGTATTCTATATATATGATTAAAATATGATATAGTATTTTTTTTAATAAATTTAATTTGAAAAAAAGTTTTATTATATAAATAAGATTTTATTTGTTATATATATTTAAAAGAATAAATTATTATTTATTTTATGAGAACAATTTTATTTAATCATAAAGCTTTTAAATAATAACTTTTGTTTTATTATAATGAATATTGTAATGGATTTTAGATTTTAAATAGATTCGTAAGTATTAAAATTAATAATTTTATTAATAATTTTATTTCTTTCAATATTCATATATTTAAAGAATTAGTAAATTTGAATGTTAAAGATTTATATAACATTTTGATAAGTGTAGAAAGTTATTGAAAGAAATTAAATATATTATTGTATAGATATCAGATTACTAATATATTATTAATATAAATTATAAATATTATTTATTAAATAAAAAAGTCCTTGAAACATATTGAAAATTTATATAAGTCTTAATTATTTTTAAATTAAAACTAAATAAAATATTACTTATTGAATTAAATTAATAGTTTTCTATTATTTATTTTAATATATTATATATTTATATTTAATAAGCTTTTCTTTATTAACAATTTGTTTGAAATTATTTAAAGAAAAATTAAATTTTTATTTAAAAAAAGAAAATTATAATTCTTTGATATTAATAATATTGTTTTTAATTAAAAAAATAATAATATAATAATATATCTTTTTGAATATATATAGGATAAAGTTCTATACTAGTATCTAATCACATGATCAATCACGTGATCATCGCTTATAAGCAACCATACGAAAACGAACATATTTAGCTTCCGAAAACGACCATTATTAGCTTACGAGACGACTATTAATAAAGAATATGAAAAGGAGCTCTATTTCGAAGGAATTGTTGGATTAGAAAGAGATCTACAAGAAATTAATAAAGCGGAAAGCTAGATTAAATTGAAAAAAGTATAAAATAAGAGCTTTTTCCCTTTTAATATAGAATAAGAAAGTGAATATCAATATATAGATTTATAAATATTATGTGTTTTTATTGCTTTTTAGTTGTTAATTGAGCTAGCTTTTTATAATAAACTAATATTAGTCTATTTCTTTTTATATTATATTTATATTAAATATTTATATACTAGCTCATAATCTATGATAGATTATGAGCTTGGTATCTTATAAATACAACTAAATACAAACTTATATATATCGATATACAATTCGAAAAAAGTAAGGAAAGAATTGTATAGATCAAAAAACAATCGAAAAAATGCCTGAAATCTGAGTATTTATTGAATTATATTTAAAATTCATTAAATTAATATGTATTTATTCAATCTAGATGTTATATATATTATTTAAGTGTATTTATATATTAGTACAAGTATATATCAATTTCAAATTTATATTCAAGTTTTTAGTTTATATATATTAATATTATATTAGTATCAAAGCTATATTTTACTGAGAAATACTATATTCAATTACCCTAGGCATATTATATTAATATTATATATCACCGGATGTATATAATACTAGCACTATATATTACCGGGTATATAGTAGTTCCCTTATTATATGTTTCCGGACATAGTAGAGTTGAATATCATACCTTACCAGAGGTATAAAGCTAGTTGTCGTCTATATTCAAATCCTTATTAAACTATATAGCTATCAATCTATATATATATATATATATACGTCTATAGATTTCTATCGAGCTATATATACGTCTGCGAACCCTTATCGAATCATCGAACCCTTATCAATCGATATATACTTTACATATACCATTGAATTATATATATATATATATATGATAGATCTTATGAACAAAGATATTTCTATAAGAAGTATTAAAAGATTTCAAAAGAAATTAAACAATAAAGATTACAAAGTGATTCAATATAAAAGCAAAAAAGAAATTTATAATAATATTAATCTAATCATAAAAATATAATTTCAAATAATAATTCGATATTATTCAATAATATAAGAAAACCAAATCCAAGTCAAATTAAATTAATTAGATATTAAAGATTTATTATATAATATCACTATATATTATAATTATAAAATACTATATTTTCAAATCTAATATCTATATAATAAGCTATTTAATCCATATATTATATATAAACACTATAATATACAATCAAATAAATCCGAATTATAACCTTGTTCTCTAAGAAATGTTAAATATTAATTTGATATCTAATATAATTCGAAAAAGGATAATTGTTTAACAAAATATCAAATTCCTAATAATTATATAAATACTATAATGAATATTAAATAATATGTTATATACACCTTTCTATATATAGAATGAATTCGAAACTACCTTAAATAATCAATGAAAAAATATACGAAAATATTAAATAATAAGAAATATAATATTATTTAATACAAAAAAAGAAAAAAGAATTTATAAACAATTTATATCATTATATCATTTATTTAATAAAAATTACATATTAATCAACAAAAAAAAATCCGAAAATCAAAAGGATTTAATTTATAGCTCAGCTATATATTATAGTTATAATATAAAACTATTAATAAGAATTCTAATTTAATTATCAAAGAATTCTGAAATCCGATTTATATTCAGAATGCATTTATAGAAAAAGGGCTAAATACAAATCTGAATTCAATTCAAATTGAAAAACAAAATATCAATTTAATATTCAGATTAACAAAAAAAAATTAATTGATTAAGATTATATCGAATCCCTATATTCAAAAATATATTATAAAGTATAATATAATAATCAATATATATATAACGTGGTTTATCAGTGAGTGGATCATATCAGTAAATAAGTCACTTTTACCTCAATTCACTTTCTTCTCTTTCAATATACGTTTTCTCAACAACTTATAATAAATTTGAATAATCAAAAAGCCTATATACTCCTTGTTATTAAAACTATTCGAAAAAATAAAAAAATGAGTATTCAAAAGCTACAAAAATATATAATATTCTGAATATAATATTATAATATAGAATAAAAGATTTAACTCTTTATTCTGAATATCGATCTAAATCTTATAATTTTTTAGAATTAGAAAAGAATATTATTTCTGAATATATACTTGATATAAATTCAAAAGATTGTTATTTAAACTTAAGAATATAGAAATATAATGAATTATATTCTCGAATTGAGAAATGCAAAATATATTAGAAAGCTTTAGGTATATCAATTTGTAAAGTGTTAAATCGAATTAAAGATATATTTTAATTATATTATAACTTTCAAAAAGCTCTTTATAAGGAGTCTAAATTTCTTAAAAGTGATTTCGATTAATTACAAATATATAAGCGAAATATAATATTTTGATAGAGATTTCTATAATTTCAATAAAATAAACTTTATAATAGGAATTATATATATAATAATGATTGTTACTAATATTAAGAAATATAGCAAAAGCAATCAGTTACAATCAGAACAATCGAGAATAGGCTATAGCAAT